AAACATTTCTTCTTCCAAGTTATCTCCCAGAAAAACCGGGGGGTACAATTTCTTTACCTCTTTCTTAGTTTCTTTTTGTAAGTCTAGGGGCTAGATGGAGTGTTGCCCATGGTTTCCAGTCCTGTCAGTTGTACAGTCCAAAAAACAATAAACAGTACAAACAAAACACATGCAGGCCTGACAATTATGAATAAAAGCTTACAAAGTGGAGATCTCCCAAATTGGTCCGCTGACTCCTGTAATGGGACACCCATGCCCCACAGCAGAAGGAGCAGACCCACAGTGGGTGAGTTGGGCCTCGGAACCGACTCTCGCCCCACAATTCACATGGGTGAGGTTCCAAGGACCCCCACCCCACATGGCGGGGTTCCAAGGACCCCCTCCCGACCCACACAGTGGGGTTCCAAGGACCCTCAACCCACAAGAGGATCTGGGACGTCTCCCAGTTCCTCCTGGGTTGTCGTGCAAGCGCATCCACTTTGACAACCCTTTACGAATTGGAGCAGCCTTCCTCACAAAGGAAAGCGAAAGTAAAACAGACAAATGACAGGACAAGACAAATTAACAAAGACAGCGCTGTTTTACCTTTGGAGTCTGAGGTCTCGGGGGCCTTTGGGGGGTATCTCAGATGAGCCCCCACTAATATTTATGCCAAGGTCACAGGAATCCCCACAAGAAGAACACTGAGTCAGATTCTACAGCTGTTTTATTTAAACGGGCTGCAGTTCAGACATCATCCTACACTCCGACACATCGGAGCCTAGGAGGAGAGCCCAGAGCCAAGGATTTGCAGGTCTTATATACACACACAATCAACCAGGGTTTTTTTTTTTTAATTTTAATTTTAATTTTTTGTAAACATACTGTACAGAGGGGTTACAATTACATGGGCAAGATAATGAGTACATTTCTTATCAAGCATTGCAGCCTCCTCCTTTGTTTACCCTTCACATCCCTTCCCAGCCTCCCTCCCCTGTCCCCCACCCAATCTCCCCATCCCCCCTCCCCACCAAAGTGGTAAAGTTCGTTTTTGACATGACAACTTGTACTTCTCATAGTTGCATCGGGTCCACCTGTATCCTTAAACGACTTGTTTTTCCCCATCTCCTCCACAAATTATACCGACATCAAATATAGTGGAAGCAGGGGTTATACTGTGGGGGAGGGACATACAAAGCTACAAAGAAATAATCTTATAAATGAGTTAGAAACAAATGCATGAAAGAATAAAACATTAAAATACATATCTAAGGGTTCATTTTCCTAACATCACATTATCGGACCTTTCCTGCTTGACTCATACATATACTAGATATTGCAAATAAGGGAAACCATGGGACCTATGTTTCTTTGGGCTTGGCATACTTCACTTAATATAATTTTTTCTTTTTCTTTTTTTTTTTTAATTTTATTTTATTTTATTTGAGAACATACTGTACAGAGGGGTTACAATTACATGGGCAGGATAATGCATACATTTCTTACCAAGCATTGCAGCCTCCTCCTTTGTTTACCCTTCACCTCCCTTCTCAGCCTCCCCCCTCCCCCCCACCCAATCAAACCCCCCCTCCAGGCTTGATCAAAATCGCCCCTGAGAGGGAGCTTAAATGCCCAAGCCAGGAACAGTGCCCACAGGCCACAGCACTAAGCAGTGGAAAAAGTCCAAATTGCATAATCCAGCAGCATACCCCATGGACATACCCAGCAACACAGGTCCAATTGGCATGCCCCAGCAGGGGACTGGGACACAGCCAGTCCTGGGGATCCAGAGCCTGAGCAGCACAGCCCACCCATCCTGGTTAAAGCTAGAAGCTGAGAATATGCCTCTGCAAAAGGAACCACACCCCCTGGGAATAGCACACATGATGGCAAAAGACCTCTGTCCCCGGAACAGGAGAACCAGAAGGCCAAATCCCACCAAAGCCTGACTTGTATATCCCAGGCTGGTAATTGGGCAGTTCAGGCTGCCAGCACCTGATTATAGTCAAGAACTCATAGCAGACACCAGCAAATGGGAGAGTATATCCAGAACACCCAGTCTTACCAAGAGCACCCATAGGAGAAAGCATGAGCAGTCTAGGCTGCTCAGTCCTTGGCTAAAGGCAGGAACTGCCTGTGATCTGCAGTAGGCAGCTGAGAGCCCTATGTGGGTCAGGCTAGCAGCTGCAGGTCAGCCTCTCCCCCAACAGAACAGAGACCAGGTACAGACTCTCTCAGCCAACCCAGTGTCGAGAGCAAGCTTCATCAATTGATCCAGGAACCAACCCAGAACAAGCAAAGACAGCCACCTATTAAACAAAACAGTCAGAGTTTCAGATTAGTCCCCAAGAATCCCTGAATTTCCATGTGAAAATCACAGAGAAAAATTACAGGATTTATCAATACCCAGGATAGCATGCTACCCCCAAAAGCCAGCAGCTATCCAGGGGAGAGTCCCAGTGTAAGCAAAGCAAGAAAGGAAGACAAATGCTACACCCAAGAGATGCTGGAGGCAATGACTCAAAAATTAAAGTGAGAAATGATCAGAAATTTAAGGAACACAGAACGAAATATCAAAAGACATGCAAGATTTCAAACAGGGGATGCAAGCAAAAATAGATGCAGTACACACCTTGCTAAGAATTGAGGTTAATACCAAGATACAGAAGCCATAAGTGGCTCAATTTCCTCTATGCAAAGCACAATGGAAGCCATAATTAACAGAGTGAATGAAATGAAAATTAGAATCCTCAGATCTCAGTCTCCTCAGTAGCTAGGAATACAGGCGAGAAAAACTGTGCCTGGTAGTTTCCTTTACTTAGTAGATTAAAATTAGTTTTGGACCAAGCAGAAGTTATTTTTCAAACTGTGTATCGACTTTTAATTTTTTGTATTACTTTAAATTTTTACTAGTGTATATGGATTAATTGGGTTTAGTATGAGAGTTTTAAATATGCTCATGAAGTCTTTTGATTACACACGTCTTTGTCCAAAATTTTTATTTGTTCTAAAATATTTAATCTATCTTAATGGCCTCCAAGCATATGAAATCCCCAAGGTTTGGATACAATACACCTAAACCTTTTGCAAGCAACATAAAATTGATAAAATTTTTCATATAGCATTTGTCCACTCTAACCACCCCTACACACACACACACACACACACACACACACACAAAATACACACACACACACACACACACACACACACACACACACACACGCACAGACAATGAGAGAGCCATGACTCATGGCCTAAATCCACTTATTTTTTATCGTTAAAATTTTATTGTAACATAAAAAAAATATAAAGGCACATTTTCCTTGTGACCTTCTTCCTGTCTCTATCATATTATTTATCCATGAACTTTTCTTTTATGCTCCATTACCTTCCTCCATGCCTGACATCCATCCAGTCTTGCTTCAAAACATCAAGACATCCATGTGTTCATTCTCTTCATTAATTCAGTAAAGATAGAAAGTATTGTGTAAGTTTACTGAAATTTCATCTAAGAAGAAATTAGCAAGGAACACAAAATACTATGCAAAACACTAACATCAAATACCCTCCCAAAAACTTCACATCACAAAATGAGGATTCAGAAGTTTACTCAATAATATAAAGTCAACCCTATTAATGGAATTCCTAAAATAAATAAAGGAGATAGACAAAAACTCAATAAAAACATGCATATTTTGATCATATATTTTTTAACATGCTAAGGAAGGTGGAAATTAATTACATTTTCATTTGTTAGACAGCATGTCCTCAAAAGAACACATATACAATATTTTTTTACCAACACACTGTTGTGTTTTCAAGAAAAATTTAACTAATAGAAACCTCTCTTCAGTAGTTATCTATTAGAAATGCAAATCTGAGAAATGTTTCAAAGTCAGCCTGGGCAGGAAAGTGGCTGAGATACTTATTTCCAATTAAAGTCCAAAGAGTTAGAAATGTACCTGTGGCTCTAGTGGTAAAGCAGCCTTAAGTGAGAAAGGTATGGGACAGTCTAAACCAGAGTTTAAGCATGCATAAATAAATGTAATTAATGTCAGAAGAAACATGTAATAAACACTGGAAGAGATAAGATATGGATGTTATTGTGGTTTCTATGTCTTAAATATGTGATTATGTAAAGATAGTATAGAACCTACTAAATCAAACTAGTTGACACAATAAGTAATGCATTCCCTATCAAATTAAGAGATTCGGAATGCTACAGATAAAAATGTTCATGTTTCAACATTTATCTTTTATTAGAAAGTGATAAAACAACAAGAAATAATGTTAATAAATAGTGATTCGACAACAATAAATTGAAAGGTGTCTCCAGCCATGGAGGAACAAATTACTATGCATTACAAAATTTAATCTTAAGAGAAAAGTAAAAAAATAACTTAACATTATAATATTAAATTAAGGGCATTTTTTATCTTATGCAATCTGTTCCAAAAGCCATAGGAGGAAAGAACAGAGAGGGGAAGGAGGAGGAGAGGGAAGGAGGAAAATGGCCAAAGGCCAGACTGAGAAAGACATAGAGAGAAACTTCCTATGATGGAGATTTGGGATTATTGCAAAAGAAAACTATGTGATTAAGAATAGTATTAGTATTAAACAAAACAATCTCTAAGGCTAATATAAAAAGATGAAACTTTGTAAAGAGAAAAGCGTAAGGAAATGCATTAGAGGATTTTGAAACATGGTAGTGTGCAGACAGGAATTCAATATACCTAAAAATCTAGAAAAGTGACTGAGAAGACAATAGTGAAAAGACACCAACAAGAGGGGATAATAGGGTTAAGTGCAAAATAAATAGGAAGAACCAAATTACATGAGGAAAAGTATCACTTTTAAAAGGTGATCACCACTGCTTCAGACTACCACAACTAGAAAAAGAAACAATTGACCTTTATTCACTGAGGTAAAAACCTCATCATACAAATGAAAATGACAATGAAAATTTGCGAGAGATTTAGATCAGACCTTCTATATGCCAATCAAACATGAGTTCAGTCTTAAGAAGGCTTACTTCTTCTACTATGTCTTTTATCCCTAAAGTCATGCAGAGAATTTCTATTTGACATTAACAAGATGTTGTAACACTTTGGGGCAAAAATGCAGCCTAGGAGTCCTGCACCAGAGGCCAAGATGGAGAAGACCTCCACAGCCACCATGACCTTCCCCTTGGCACTGTGGTAGACAGGCAGGAAGGTGAGCCACACACTGCAGAACACCAGCATGCTGAAAGTCAGGAACTTGGCCTCATTGAAGGTGTCAGGCAGGTTCCTAGCCAGAAAAGCCATGGTGAAGCTGGACAGGGCCAGAAAGCCAAGGTATCCTAGGACACAGTAGAAGGCAGTGAGGGAGCCCTTGTTGCACAGGATGATGATGTGGCCATGTTCAGACTGTGCATCGGTATCCACAAAGGGAGGAGAGGTTCCCAGCCAGAGTCCACAGAGAGTCACCTGGATGAGGGTGCAGATAGGGATGATGAAGTTAGGAGCCCCTGATACCAGCAGCCACCTCATCCTCCCTGGGGAAGTGGCCTTGAAGGCCAGAACCACAGTAACTGTTTTGGCCAACACTGTGGAAACAGCCATAGTAAACACAATTCCAAAGGCAATTTGCTGCAGGATGCAGGTGACTGTGTTGGGTCGGCCAAGAAACAGCAAGGAACAGAGAAAACAGAAGATGAGGGAGATGAGTAGGATGTAGCTGAGAGCCCTGTTATTGGCCTTGACAATGGCAGTGTCATGGTGTTTCACAAACATCCCAAGAACAACAGCAGTGAGCATAGAGAAACAAAGAGCCATGAAGGCCAGAGCCATGCCCAAAGGATCTCCAAAAGCCAGGAAACTTGCAGCTCTCAGGAGGCACTGGGTTCTCTGTGTGTTGGCATACTGATGATCTGGACACTTCACACACTGGTCCATATCTGATAAGAAATGTAAAGTACCATTAGTTCTTGGTTTGAACTTCCTTTTCTTCAAAGATATTAGCAAATTGTTTACTTAGATGTAATCCTAACATAATCTACCATAGTTCCAAAACTGACCGTCAAAAAATCAGTTTTCTTTCTTTGCTAAACCATAACATCCTCCCCCTTCCAACTTCTTCAGTATTCAGACTTTTTTGTTCAGCTATTTTTTCCTTCAAGTATTATCACAAGTATTGTTAATGTGCTATTTGGAATATTCTAATATACTAATAACAATTTTTACACTTTTGCTCACACTAACAGAATTTTGCAGCTTACTGTAATCCTACTGAAAATTGTACATAATGCAGCTTTCGATTTCCTACACATCTCTGTAAAGATTAATTTTGTTTCTGTGGCACCATCCTTGAATTCATTTCATTATATTGTTCTATCCAACTCGTCTATGAATCTGTAGAAACAGAGAAAACACTCTTGGACACTCTATATTCATGCTTCCTTATTAAATGGAATCCCTCTTTCTGAGCTCTTGCTCTGTTTCTGAGTACAGAGAAATGAATCTATGCATCATCCATGTTTTCTGTGTGAACAAAATGTAATTTTCAAGATGATCAATGTTCTCAATAAGACTTGTGTTTAATGTCATTTTAGAGTTTACACTTGTCTTAATTATTAGAGATAAGAGGAATTCCTGGAGATAACTTTGCCTGCACTAGACTAGAAAGTATTATTAAATATGTAATTCAAAGCCCTGCCATACTTGAACTAGCAATACAACTAACTGCTTCATAAATTTTAATTCTTAACACTGAGAAGAAAACAAGATCGATAGTCCTAAGATGCAACTTTTGCACTGACATGGTTGGATTGATGAAAACAACGGAAAGATGAACAATTTCTACATAAGTCATGGATTTACCTGTTCCATTAGCAATCTCATTCTCTGGGCAAAGATTACAATCAAAACAACAAGCAGCTTTTTCCTCTTGATGAGATGTCCTGAATCCAGGATCACAACTCTCACTGCAGGCAGAGTGAGGAGTCTGAGGAAAATCAGTTCTGTGTCAGTAACTAACACTCCAAAAAGTGCATTGTTTTAAAGAATTGTATTAATAAGAATAATGCTTCTAAACAGGTAAGTGAAGTTGATTAATTAAATTCTGTAATCGAAACCATATATCATGATTACAAAAGGCTTTCATGCTACAACTTTTATTTCTAACCTGTTGAACTATTAAAAAAAATATGGGATCTTTAAAAGGTGGAAACTAATGGTGACAAAATAAGACCCAGTATAGATGCCTGTAGAATTTCCTTCAATTCATGTCATTATATATTGTCTCCTACTCATCTGTGATGTGGGGAAGAGCAAGGAGGAAACATCCCTTTTAGAGGGTTGTGTGAACCCCAGGGCCATCCTATCTTCCTCTTCATTTTCCAGTGGCCATGAAGACACTATCTTCTCACAGGCATATTCAATGATTACTCTCACTAAAGATGCCCAAGTAGCAGGTCAACTAACCATTTAATGAAACCTCCATCCACACAAGTGAGCAAAGAAGCCTCTCAACCACATAAAGTGATTCTTCTCATAAGTTATCATAATGTTAGGAACCAATAAGAAATGTACAATTTATGTTTCATGATAATATGATAAGTCAATATTTAGAAACACCTGTAATGTGTTTGGTGCTGATTGCAGGGTTTGAACCCTAGATCTGGACATTGGCCCTCAGTTTTTTGCTCAAGATTAACACTCTACCACTTGATCCATAGCTCCACTTCCAGATTTTTGTAGTTAACTGGAAATAAGTCCAAACTTTCCTGTTTGGATTGACTTTAAACCGTGATATTCACATTTCAGATATCTGAGTTGTTAGCATTATGGGAGAAAGCTGACACTCAACCAGGTGTAAATTTCAAGGGTAAAATTTTGCTTATATGTATGTCCTTAAAGTCGTTGGGATTAGATCCAACTCACCTCTGTAGTATCTATGGCCCACTCTACCATATCTTCAGATAAAGACAGTTGATTACCATGCAGAGCATATGGAGAAAACTTTCCTACTTTCACTGTAAGTTGAAGACCTTCTGGAAAATTCCAAATGTTCAGAATGTCATACTCTGGCTCTAATTTTCTTTTCTCATCCAAAATCATTTCTTCTCCAGCAGGATTGTAAAATTGTATGTTCTTTATGAAAAGGTGCAACTAAAAGAGATTCATCATTATATGGTGAAGAAAACTCCTAGTTGCCTTTAATCTCTAAGTCTGAATTCTAGAATAGCATAGACAGCAATGAAGTATTATATAAGAAAATCTATTGAGGAATAAAAATAACCCTCCTGAATCCTTGTCACTCAGAAGAGGAGTAGAAGGCCTTTTTCTGGAGAAATCAAGACCAGGCAAATAGCCATGAATAAGACAATTTTTCAGTTACCTACCTCCATATTTTAACGAATTATTGTTTGAGCTTGCTAAACTTTTTATACCAAAATTGAATGAAAAGAGATGACTTGTGAAAAATATGGATTAAAATATGCTGTTTAGTAGGTCATCCTCTGAAAGTACTGAAGTAATTCAGGGAAACGCTGAATTTACTTTTGAAAACAGTAGCTATGAGCATGTTAAGGTTATTTGTAACTAGGTGAATTCATAAGCCAGGTGTTGGTGGCTCACAACTGTAATCCTAGCTACTCAAGAAGCTAAGATCTGAGGATCGTGATTTGAAACCAGGCCAGAGAAAAAGTCCATGAGACACTTATCATCAATAAACCACTCAGAATATGACAAAAGTACTACTGTGGCTCAAGTAGTAGAGCATTATCCTTGAGCACAAAAAGACACAGAGACAGCATCCACACCCTAAGCTCAAGCTCCAAGAAAAGCAAAAATATATCTTAACTGAATTCTAACACTAAACAAGAAATACATGTATGTATGTATGTGTATGTGTTTATGTGTGTATATATATGTATATATTCAAACATACTATCCATGGTATATATTTTATCCTTGTTACTGACCTGGCCTATGTTTTCTTAAGAGAAATGAACACATGTATAGAGTTTCTCACCAAAATTTCACCCATACTTTACTGGGTTTTGAAAAACACTTGAAATATTTAATTTTATACAGTAAGAAACCCTCTAGGAAGTGTCTTTGCTCATGGTGTATGCACTGAAATATAGAAGAAATTACCTGTGCAGGGGAAGGCACTGTCTCTTTACTACTTCCCATTGTTTGAACTTCTGTTTGATGAAGAAGCATCTCATGGAGAACCTGGGCCACAGTGTAAACAGCATTGTATATATGGTAACTGTCTCCAGACATAGTCCTGTCAAAAATATTCCCAGGCAACCAATCCAAAGAGGCATCATGAAGACAATTGTCCCATTTTACACAGTCAGTCTTGGAATCAGAACAATTAAAAGACACAAACCACAGCCTAGCAAGAAGAAAGTCTTCTGGATATTTGGAAGGATTAACTGCCTTGATAAAATCTGTGAATCCAGAAACATCTGCACGATGGTGTGAAAAAATGAGAGGTACATGGAATGAGCCTAGCATGAAATACTTCTTTCTCGTGGTTAAATCCCAATGTGAGTTCATGAGGCAAACTTTTCCTTTTATTAAAATTTGCTCATAACACATCATTAAATCTAGTAGTGACTCATTATCACCATATATCATGAGGACATTTGCTGAAGATTTATTTATCTGACTATATATTTTCATTAAATTGAACATCTGTGAGATGGTTTTACTTGAGATCACTAGCTCATAGGCAATGCAAACTCTGTTTTTGACCATTTCTTCTTTCAATTTAACAAGAACCCACAAACCATTCTCATCCTCTGATGTCAACAGTCCCACCCAGTTCCAGTTGAAGTGAAGCAGTAAGGAGACCATTGCAGTGGCTATTGATGTGTCCTTTGGAGCCATCTGATAGAGAGCAGGAAACTGCTTATGGTCACTCAAGGCATGATCAAAAGGTCCAAAGGTAAACTAAATGGAAAGAAAATTGGATGCTCCATGAATGAGAAGATTGCCATCCATCACAATCTTAATCTTCAAGTATGTGAAGAACCAGTTGAATTAGGTGAAAGGTACATTTTTGTTTTAGTTTTTGAGAAAAAAATCAATATTTGTACAAAATATCAATTTATTTGTATGTCTCTTGTTCTTTGTCACCATTTCCATTAACTACTCCCATGTCTATCAGCCCAACCAATTCCCTGATTTCCTAATTCTATTTTCACATATGTACATTTAACATTATGTTTTTCTTCACCCATACATTCCCTATTCTTTTGACTTTTTCCTGTAACAACTAACCCCCTCAGAGAAGATATGCTTCAGCTTCCTAGTGTTCATATTTTTATATTCAGTAGATCAGAAATGGTTATTCCATGGAATTCAACCCCCATAAATGCCATACTTTACTCCAATTAATCATGTATATATATACATACATATATAAATGGCTATACATTATCTATATTTATTATATATGACATGTTATTATTTTAGTTCTATCTTTCCCATATGAGAGAACACATCTCCCCTTTATCATTCTGAGCCTGACATGTCATTCAACATAATATCTTGTCCACATGCACCTGTGTGTGTGTGTGTGTGTGTGTGTGTGTGTGTGTGTGTGTGTGTGTGTGTGTGCACATGCATGCCAGGACAAGTGCATGAACTCAGGCCTCATGAATTCCCTTGGCTTTTGTCCTCAATGTTGGTGTTCTACCACTTAAAACACACGTTTATTTACTGGTTTTGCTGGTTAATTGGAGATAAAAGATTCCAGAATAGCTGGGATTATAAGTGTGAGTCACCAATACCCTGCTCAGCATATGTCCACACATCAAAGTCATTTTGAACTTTTTGTCTTTTTAAATTATTGATTACACTTGAAATAATAAATAACCCATTTGTTTGTGTGCTTCTTCAATCTCATTTTCCAAACAGTGGGAATGTACATATCTTCCTATCTTTGCATACTTACTCTTTGATACCACAAAATCTTACAGGTTCATAACACCAGGCTCTTATCATTCTCTCCTAACATCTGGAATAGCACCAAATGAGACATTTTTATATTCCCCCACTAAGTTCACCTTCACCTGTGGAAATCTGTAGAGTTCCAGCAATGTCCCAATGCGGGCAGATGTTATTCCTAATGGTCCTGTTAGTACTGCTATAGACTTGCTGTCTCTTCTACAGGAGTAGTTTGGAATCTTGTATTTCCCAAAGAGCCAAATGAAGGGATTCTTAAATACTGCCCAAACTTCGAAGTAAACATCATAGATATCAAATCCCAGAGTCAAGTTATGTAAAAATTCAGGGTTTTTGTTGATCTCCTCAATAGCAAAAGCCAAGGCCAACACAAGCTGATAGTTCTTGAAGATAAACCTGCATAATGAACATAGAAATTTAGAAGGAATATTTCAAAAGTTATGACTTTGATGGCCACACCACCGACAAATATATATATATATGCATACACACACAAGAATATAGACCCTGTCCTTGTTAGATCATAACAAAATAAAAGTAGAGCTCAACAGCAGAAATCATCAAAGAAAATCCTCAAACTCATGGAAACAGAATAATTTATTGTTGAGAACCAGTAGATCATCAAGGAGATAAGAGGTGAAATTTAATGATTTTCAGGATTCAAATAAAATGAAGACACAAAATAACAAATCCTTTGGGAAACAGCAAGATAGTACTCAGAGGAAAATTTATATACATATGCTTGCACCAACAAATTAGAAAAATCTCAAAGCAATACCCTAATGATGCAACTCAAGCTTTTAGACAAACCAGAGCAAGTAAAACTCAAAACAAGTACACAGAAGAAAATAATTAGAGTATAATTAAATGAATTAGAGACTTAAAAATGCAAATAATCTGTAAAAACAAAAGTTGATTATTTGAAAAAAAATTTACAACATTGACAGGACTCTACCCAAATTAATTAAATAAAAGAGAAGACACCCAAATAAATAATATTAGAGATTACAGGGGGGAATCACCACAGATCCAACAAAATTCAGAATATTCTAAGGGAATACTTTATAAGCCTCTTGGCAACAAATATAATAATCAGGAAGAAATGGATATATTCCTATATACCCAAACTGAATCAGGTAGACATAAACTTAATAAACAGACCCAGCAAAAGCAATGAGATTGAATTGGCAATAACTGACCTTCCAGGAAGAGCCCAAGACCTGATGACTTCACAACCAAATTCTTTAAGACTTTTGAAGGAGAATTATCACCAATACTCATTCAAACTCTTCATTGAAATAGCACGGGAAGGAACACTGCCAAACTCATTCTATGAAGCCATTATTACACTTATCCCCAAATTAGAAAGGGACTCATGAAGGAAAGACAACTTTAGACCTATCTCCTTGACATATATTGTTGTAACACTCCTCCACAAAATTTAGAAAATGATCAAGAAGATCATACATGATGATTGAATGGGATTTATCTCAGGGATGAAAAGCTAGGTTAACAAATATCAGTTAATTACATATTACAACAGATCAGCAGAAGTTAGGACAACAGCTACATGATTCTCACCTCATTATAATGAAAGCTCTGGAGAAGCTAGGATCCATGGACCATTCCATGTGTGTATGAGAAATATAGAGTCAGTGTTATGATTAATGGTGAAAAACTAAAGGTATTTCCTCTAATATCAGAAATAAGAGAATATATACTCTCTCTTTTCTCTTCAACATAGTACTGGAATTCCTAGCAAGCGAAATAGGCAAGAGAAAAGCATGCAGGGAATGCAAATATGGAAGAAGTAAAACTATCCCTTTTTAAAGATGGCATGATCCTGTAGTTGAAGGACCCCAAAATTTCCTTTCACAGCTTACAGAGTTGATCCAAAACTTTGTCAAAATAGCCAGGTATAAATCAACCCACAAAAATCAATACCATTTTTATGCCATTATCAAGAAGATCAAGAAAAGAAACTCCATTTGAAATAGAATTAAAAAATACAAAATACCTAGGAGTTAACCAAAGAGGTGAAGGACCTCTATAGTGAAAAGTTTAAAAAATTCAAAAACAAAATTGAAGAAGTCTTAAGAGGATGGAAAGATAATCTGAGCTCCTGGATTGGAAGATTTAACATTGTGAAAATGAAATACTGCCCAAAGCAAATTACAAATTCAATGCAATATCCATTAAAATCCCAACAAATTTGTTTAAAGATATGAAGAGAGCAGCCAAAAAATTCAAATAACAAAAGATCCTGAATAGCAAGGCAAGTCTTAGCTAGTGGAACATTGTAGATGGAATAACAATACCAAACTTCAAACTCAATTACAGAACCATGGTACTTAAAACAGTTTAGTGGCAGCACAAAATAGGTCAGATGACCAATGGAACAGATTAAAAGACCTGAAATTGAACCCACAGACATATAGCCATTTAATATTTGATAAACTAGCTAAAATAAAGATGGAAAGAAAAAGTTTTTTCAACAAAATGGTGCAGCAACCTAAATAAAACAAAATGTATCAAAATTATTGGTAAAAGTGACTATACAAGTAACCTGAGATTGTTCTAACATTGTAAGTGTGCTAGAGAAATCATACATATAATTCTTATGAAGTGGGAAAAATTATTGGTGTATCTAGTATTTACTATAGAACAGTGTAAAATTATTATAAATGATGGGAAGACTACAATGCAGTTGCAATTTTCATTTGTATGTCTTTAATATTTTAACTTAAAGTAGAAAATGAAAAAGTTTTATTAAAAGTTAAATGAAAGATTTCATTAAAACATTACTGTATATCCACTTATGTATTTGATCATCTCCCAATATTTCTTGTGTATTTTCTCTTTTTTTTTTCATCCTCCTCAGCCGGGATAGTTGTCATCATTCTAAAATATCCTGCTTTAATCCTCTTTGAGCTTCCTAAGTAGCACAAAATCTATAACAGACAAATGAAATCTTATAATCCAGAAATCAAAAGTCACTACCAATGAACTCAATAAAGGAGAGAAAGTGTGGAAGAAACTTCAATAAACCTGAAGAAGTTACATAATGGCAGGAATCAGAAGTGAACTATCAACAGTGAATGGGAATGGAAATGCAGAAAATTCCCAGCAATCCCACTTTTGGATATTTACCCAAATGTTTACAAACAAGACCACACTAAAGCTACCAGCAAGACTATGTTTATTGCAGCACTATTTACTATAGCTAAGATATGGAACCAACCCAGATGCCCCTCAGTAGATGTTGGATCAAGAAAATGTGGTATATTTTAGATATGAGACCCTTGTCCGTTGTATGGCTAGTAAAGATCTTCTCCCAGTCCGTGGGCTTTCTATTGATCTTGCTAGCTATGTCATTTGCCCTGCAGAAGCTCTGCAAGCTTATGCAATCCCATTTGTCCAGCCTTTCTTTGATTTGTTGTGTTTCCGGGTCTCTATTCAGAAAATTTCGGCCTGAGCCAAGGAGACCCAGGGTTTCTCCTATTCCATCCTGGAATGTTTTCAGAGTGTCTGCTTTGACTCCGAGGTCTTTGATCCATTTGGAGTTGATTCTGGTGCAGGGTGATATATAAGGATCTAGCTTTAGTTTTCTACATGTAGTTAACCAGTTTTGCCAGCACCATTTACTGAAGAGGCTGTCTGTCTTCCATTCTATTGTTTTAGCTCCCTTATCGAAGATTAGATGGCTATAGGTCTGTAGGTTCATTTCTGGGTTTTCAATTCTATTCCATTGGTCCTGAGGTCTGTTCTTATGCCAATACCAAGCTGTTTTGATTACTATGGCTTTATAGTAGAGTTTGAAATTTGGTATTGATATTCCTCCAGCAGTGTTCTTTCCGTTGAGGAGCGTTTTTGCTATTCGGGGTCTTTTATTGTTCCATATGAATTTTTGGATTGCCTCTTCTATTTCCTTGAAGAATGAGGGTGGAATTTTGATAGGTATTGCGTTGAATTTGTAGATAGCCTTGGGAAGTATTGCCATTTTCACGATGTTAATCTTTCCAATCTAGGAGCATGGGAGGTTTTGCCATTTTTTAAGTTCTGTGTTGATTTCCTTTTTCAAGATTTTAAAGTTTTCATCATAGAGGTCCTTCACTTCTTTAGTTAAGTTAATTCCTAGGTATTTTATTTTTTGTGGGGCTATTACAAATGGAGTTGCTTTCCTAATTTCAGCCACAGTTTTCTCATTGTTGGTATACAGAAAAGCCATTGACCCAACAACAAATCCTCAAAGAAACAACTGCCCAATAAGTAAGTGGGCGAAAGACTTAAAGAGAAGCTTCTCTGAAGAAGAAAGAAGGATGGCCAATAGACACATGAAGAAATGTTCAACATCCCTAGCCATAAAAGAAATGCAAATCAAAACAACATTGAGATATCACCTCACTCCAGTTAGAACAGCAAAAATCAAGAACTCTAACAACAACAGATGCTGGAGGGGATGTGGACAGAAAGGAACCTTACTTCATTGTTGGTGGGAATGTAAACTTGTTCAACCACTTTGGAAAGCAGTATGGAGGTTCCTCAAAAGACTCCACATAGAGCTCCCCAATGACCCAGCAATCCCACTTTTGGGCATTTACCCAAATGATCACAAACAAGGCCACACTAAAGCTACCAGCACAACTATGTTTATTGCAGCATTATTTACCATAGCTAAGACATGGAACCAACCCAGATGCCCCTCAGTAGATGAATGGATCAAGAAGATGTGGTATATATACACAATGGAATTCTATGCCTCCATCAGAAAGAATGACATTTCCCCATTTGTTAGGAAATGGAAAGACTTGGAAAAAATTATATTAAGTGAAGTAAGCCAGGCCCAAAGAAACATAGGTCCCATGGTTTCCCTTATTTGCAATATCTAGTATAGGTATGAGTCAAGCGGAAAAAGTCAGATAATGTGATGTTAGGAAAACGAAACCTCAAATATGTATTTTAATGTTTTTGTTTCTTTCATGCATGTGTTTCTAACGCATTTATAAGATTATTTCTTTGTTGCTTTGTATGTCCCTCCCCCACAGTGTAACCCCCGCTTTCACTATATTTGATGTCAGTATAACATGTGGAGGAGATGGGGACAAACAAGTCGTTTAAGGATTCAGGTGGACCTGTTGCAACAATGAGAAGTACAAAATATCATGTCAAAACCAGCATTACAATGTCGGTGGGGGGGGGGGGTATGATTGGGTGGGAGAGAAGGGGGAGGCTGGGAAGGGAGGTGAAGGGTAAACAAAGGAGGAGGCTGCAATGCTTGGTAAGAAATGTATGCATTATCCTGCCCATGTAATTGTAACCCCTCTGTACAGTATGTTCTCAAATAAAATAAAATTAAATTAAAAAAAAAAAAAAAGAAAATGTGGTATATATATGCAATAGAATTCTATGCCTCCATCAGAAAGAATGACATTGCCCCATTTTTTAGGAAATAGAAAGACTTGGAAAAAATTATATTAAGTGAAATAAGCCAGGCTCAAAGAAACATAGGTCTCATGGTTTCCCTTATTTGCAATATCTAGTATATGTCTGAGTCAAGCAGAAAAGGTCCAATAAGGTGATGTTAGGGAAATGAAGCCTAAGATATGTATTCAAATGTTTTTTCTCTTATATTCAATTGTTTCTAACACATTTATAAGAGTATTTCTTTGTTGCTTTGTATGTCCCTCCCCCACAGTATAACCCCTGCTTTCACTGTATTTGATGTCGGTATAATTTGTGGAGGTGAAGGGGAAAAATAAATCATTTAAATAGGGATACAGGTGGACCCATAGCAACAATGAGATGTACAAGTCGTTATGTCAAAAACGAACTTTACATTATCTTGCCCATGTAATTGTAACCCCTCTGTTCAGTATTTTCACAATAAAAAAGGATACAAAATAACTTTAAAAGAAATGCAAATAACACCTAAGACATTTTAATAAAAAATGCTTATGTTTTTCCTGGCCATCCTAAAAAAAAAAAAAAAAAAGAAAGGATGAATGAATAAAAACTCAATGCCAAACTATAGATTAATTCCAAAAAACTCAATTCATCATCAATAGCCCTGGGTGACTTAAGAAAAGAATGTGAGACAGGCCCAAAGAAATGTAAGTTCCATGGTTTCTCTCATTGTAACACCTAGAATGTGCCTATAAATCTACAAGTAAATAAACTAAGATATGATAAATGATACAGGTGTTTAAGAATTACACACAGTGAGAAATAAAAAGGATAATAATCTTTAAAAGACATTTATTTTGTTACAATTTTAGAACTTTAACATTTATCAGTAATACAATAGGTATGAAACTTGTCTTTTTATTTTACTATCTTTAAGTAGTTGTACATAGAAGTTCCCATTCTACAAAACAATATATGAGTTTTTATACTTTCTTTTCTTTTGTTTTTGGAGTGCTATGGATGGAACCTATGGTCTCACAGATAATTAGTCGATTTTTATCTCTCAGATCATTTTAACAAATATCTGAATGAACCATCTCTCATCAACATGCTGAGTTTTCTCCAGGAGAGATCATGGGCTAGGACAAAAAAAAACTAGCCAGATTTTTTTTGGTTGGATATGGGGCTTTAATTCAGGAATTGGGCGCTGTCCCTCAGGTCTGCAGCTCAAGGGAAGTGCTCTACCTCTTGAGCCACAGCACCACTTCCAGTTTTCGGAGTGGTTTACTGGAGGTAAGGGTCTCATGGACTTTCCTTCCCAGACTGGCTTTGAACCAAGATCCTCAGATTTCAGCCTCCTGAGTAGGTAGGATTATAGGTGTGAGCCACCGGCATCCAGCTCACCACATTTTTGTGTGCTTTAAATCACATGAGCAAGCTAATGAGTACATTGCCTATCAAGCATTGTGACATCCTCCTGTGTTTTTCCCTACCATCCCTTACCTCCCAACTCCACAACTACTCCCAACCCCCTGCCAAAGTTGTAAAGTTCATTTTTAAGGTAGTGTGTTGTACATCCTATTGTTACAATGGGTCAACCTGTATCCCCATTTAAGCATTTTGTTTTTTCCCTTCCCCTCCCCAAATTAGAGAAGTGTATGTACAACATGGAGGGCACTGAAATCAAATACAGTGAAATCAGTGGTTATAGTGTGGGGAAGGATCATAAAAAAGAAACAAAAAAATTCACATGGTACATTATATATACATTAGAAACAATAGCAAGAAAAACACCACTTGGGTCCTAATCTTGGGCTTAATTTTATTTAACATCAACTTATCTGGTCATATGTACAGAGTTTTTACCTTTTCTGCTTGTCCTAGCCATATACTAGTTATTGCAAATAAGGGAAACCATTGGACCAATGTTTCTTTGGGCCTGGCTTACTTCAATTAATGTAATTTTTCCAAGTCTTTCCATTTCCTGCCAAAAGGGGCAATGTCATTCTTTCTGATGGAGGCATGGGATTCCATTATGTATGTATGTATATATATATATATATATATATATATATATATATATATATATATATATATATATATATCACTTTCTTGATCCATTCATCTACTGAGGGGCATCTGGGTTGGTTCTATATCTTAGCTATGGTAAATAATACTGCGATAAACATAGTTGTGCTGGTAGCTTTGTTATGACCTTGTTTGTGATCCTTTAGGTAAATGCTCAAAAGTGGGATGGAAAAAAAACCAATCAAGGAACAAACACTTGAGTAGACACTTTAAAAATTAAAATGTACAAATGGAAAATCAATACAGAAAAAAATGTCCCAACATTTGAGTAATGAGGGCAATACAAATCAAAACAACATAATATAACTATCAACCCAGACAAAAATTGCAGTTTTGGTGATGGCATCTAAAAATTAAAGACTGGAGATTCTTCAAGAAATTGAAACTACCTGTGCTGGTGGCTCATACCTGTAATGCTAGCTGAACAGGAGGCTGACATCCAAGAATCCTAAGTCAAGGCTACAGCATCAGAAAACTCAATGATAGTCTTTCTCTCCATTTAACCAACAAAAAGCTAGAAATGGAGGCATAGCTCCATGAAGTGGTAGAACATCAGCCTTGACATAAAAAAAAAAACAATCAAAAGTGCAAAACAAGCCAATCATCAGTGGTCCATGCATAAAATTATACTAACTGCCCTCCCCAAAATTTACTAACTCAGCCCAGACTTCACTTTGTATCTGTGCCTAGGCAGACAAACCCATGAGACTCTGCTTGCCTATTAACTACCAGAACATTGGAAATAGAGTTGTGGCTGAAGTAGTAGAGTGCTAGCTTTGAGTAAAAAAGCTAAGGGACAATGTTCAAGCCCTGAGTTCAAATCCAGGTACTGGCAAAAATAGTAAATAAATACACTCAGAGGAAAAAAAGAATACAGGCGATGTACAGGACACTACACTGAAAATGAATTTTATAACTTCACCAGGGAGGAGGTGGTATGGAGTTAGGGAGGTGGACAGGGAAGGTATTGCAGGGGAAAAACAAAGGAGAAGGTAACAATACTAAATAGGAAATGTACTAATTGGAAATCAAAGTCTCACAGTTTTTCCAGCCTTGGCTGGCTTCAAACCTCCACCTCAGATATCAGATCTGTAGGTAGTTAAGATCACAGGCATGAGCCACCAGATACAATAAGAATGTCTATCAATGTCCTCAAAAGGGATCTATCAATATAGAAATTGCTCATACTACTGGCCTCAGGGGCAAGGAAATGTGGCTGCAGCCTTTTGTACAGAACAGGTGGCAGTATTTCAGGTTGTTTGTAAGGACATGATTTCCTCTTCTGCGGTGATCGTTGGCATGGAGGAGATACAAGGATGCTACAGTAAAGTTAAGAATTTACCAGCCTGGAAAGGTGAAACTACATAGAAGGAAATAGAGTATTTTCTTTTTTTATTGTGAAAATACTTTACAGAAGGGTTACAATTACATGAGCACGGTAATGAGTACATGTCTTATCAAGCATTGTTGCCTCCTCCTGTTTCATACTAGCAGGCAGGAAAACACTCAACAATAGATGCAAGACAAAATAAAGAAACAGCTATTCCTGCTGCAATAGAGATGGAAGGTCAGTGTAGGGAAGACAGAGACCATTGATTGTATGCTCAACCATTGCCCATTCTCAGAACATAACAGTAGACGGAAATAAAATGATGAGTTACTTACGGCATGTTCTCTTTTTGCCTAGAAGCTTCACTGTTGCTAAGATCAATTCCCAAAGTGTAGAGAGGGAAAAACCCAGCAATCATCACATCTCCATCCATGTGTGCTCCATGCTTCATTGCAGAAAAGCAGGTAGTGCCAGCCAACGATCTGACAAGAAGGGGAAGCTGGAGAAGAAGGAGTGTGGAAGTCATAAGGTACATCCCTGAAACCTCTGCCCAGCAGAAATTCTGGCTGGAAGTGAGACCCACAGTGTCAGATACCTTTATTCATACATATGTGTGCATATGTATCTTTTTATTGCCAGAGACCTATACTGTAGCTGATCTTCCATCAAAGCCTTTTGTGAGTCCCCAGAAACTATATCCTGGGGCTCTACATCTGTGGCCTTCATCCAGGAGAAAAACATGAGTTAGAAAGCATGTTTGTGGATTTGCCTTCTTTGGCCCAGGTGCTATGATTCCATCTAAGACCACAGAGAGTGAGGCCCCAGAGATGGAGTTATCTTGGATAGTTTTTGTCCAACATCTGTGTCAGGAAACTATTTTCATGAAAGCCATTTGTGATGATGCAACTGGATTGCCTAAGAGGATGCCATATGCTGTGCATGGTGAAATGTCTGAAGAGTCTGTGTCTGTGAGATGTCAACCAAAGTTATGAGAGCATCACATCCAGAGATTCTATTAACACACACCATGTCACAACAGCCACCGAACATTGGTGGTTGATCCAGACAGGTTTCAATGGGAATTACATGTGCAGAACCCTACAAAAATGCACCCATTTTCTACTGCCTGAGGAAGCAAAGATGCTGCTGAAACCAGCAATTACATGTCAATAACTCAAAGTCAATGCTGAAATTGAGTCCCATTTTTGCATACTGAACTGTCACTCTCAAACAAGTACTTATTACTAAACATGCTAACATAGGTATTTTCATGTTGCAGCCTTCTGAGGACATATAATAGAGGAAGTTATTCTCAATGACAAACCAAAATCAATATCAAAACCAACTATATGATTTTTATTTGTCAACATATGTTAAACCCGAATTCCATACAGAGACTTCAGGGCAGTGAACACACTCTATGCAAAAATGTAGTGCTGGATGTAAGTTATGGTACACTTACACATATTCATGCTCTGAGTATCAGAAAATATTCATCAGATCTGTACTTTAAAATGCAGGAGGAAAAGTAACACCCTTTCTCATGAGATTGCCACTGGTTTTTTACACTTTTTTGTGAAAATACCATATAGATGGATTACAATTACATGGGCAAGATAATGAGTACATTTCTTATCAAGCATTGTTGCCTCCTCCTCCTTTGTTCCCCTTCCCATCCCTTCCCATCTCCCTCCATACTCCACCCCCCCCACCCCTGCCAAAGTTTTAAAGTTCAACAACTTGTACATCTCATTGTAGCAATGGGTCCACCTGTATCCCTACTTAAACGATTTGTTTTTTCCCTTCCCCTCCACAAATTATACCAACATCAAATACAGTGAGAACAGGGGTTATACCATGGGGGAGGGACATACACAGCAACAAAGAAATCATCTTATAAATATGTTAGAAACATTCAAATGAAAGAAAAAACATTTGAATACTTAGCTTGGGGTTCATTTCATCTAACAAAAATTTATCTGACCTTTTTTACACTTTCCTATTCATTACATTACATATGATTTTTATCATTTATTTTTTAAGTTCTAAGTATCATATATTAGTTGGACCTAGGATTTATTTACATACGTATATGTCTGCATACAATGGGCTTCAGTCTCACAAGATGGTGGCACTGGTCCATGCCATAAATCTATAAGTTCTGGAAGAACCTACATACTGATTTCCTTAATGTGTACCTGAAATTACATCCTCATGATTAGTGTTTAAGTGTCTCCTTTCCTACATCATTTTAGTTGTGTGAAAATACCATACAGAGGGGTTACAATTAAATGAACAAGGTGATGAGTACCTTTCTTATCAAGCATTGCTACCTCCTCCTTTGTTTCCCTTTACTATCCCTTCCCATTCCCCACCCTCACACCCCCCAACCCCCTGCCAAAGTTGTAAAGTTCATTTTTCAACATAAAAGTCTTGTACATCTCATTGTTGCAATGGGTTCAAATAGGGATACAGGTGGATCCTACATTCTTATGACCATTTGTTATTTGTATTCTCTATGACAGACATTGTCACGGGAGTGAAATAAAATTATCTTTCCATTTCCTTTATGCCAAGAATGTTGAGCATTTCTCTATTTTTATTAGCCTTTTATACTTCTTGTTTTGAGAAGTTTCTTTTAGTTTAATTACTAGATTGTTGATTGGATTGTGGATCCTTTAGGAGTGTAGTGTTTTGAGCTTCCTGTATATTCTGGCTGTTAATCACTTGCCACAGGTTTAGGTGGCAAATTGTATAAGCCACTTATTCGGGCTAGTGACTCTTTAGTTTGTTGTGCCAAATGCTTTTACCTTGATATAATCCCATTTCAGGGTTCTTGCTCTTAGGTACTGAGTGACTTGAAATTTTTACCAGAAAGTTACTGGCTATACAGAATGTTCTGATATTTTTCCTATCTGCACTATATTGTTTTATCTTAAGTTTTAGCTCTTGATTTTCTGCAGTCTAGAAAAACAAGGATCATTCATAACTTAGAGCACCCTGGGATATCTGGCCACAGTGCCAAAGAGAAGATACGTGTAAGTTTAGTCATAGACGGGGTAGCTCTGTGAATGTAAGTATTTAATCAGCACATGTAGTGCCCTTATGTGTACAAGCATGCAGCCTTTGCATTCTGCCTGGCTCATAGATTAGAAGTCTCCCTGACACCAGCAGTTGTTTCTGGGATTCTGAGATAGGAAGCTCTTAAGGTGAAGCATTTATCCATTTGGTGTTTTGAAAAATTAACAGAACTATAGTTTACAAATTGTCCACATACACTAATAGGAAACCTTGTTCATTTCTGCGTAAGATCAAAAATGGAGGAAAGATTTTACCTGCTACCTGAGAAACAGCTGCAGTGTCTCTATTTCCATTGAATCACTGTATGTAGAGTTTGACATCCCTGATACCATTTGGGTGTCACAGAGCAAAACATTGACATTGTGAGCTGGGTACAATGAGCCATTTATATGTTTTTCTAGACCTCAATCTCACTTGTTGGAATTGCTGAATTCTTCAAAATGTTCAACCCAATACTAAATTATATTCCATAGAATTCAGGTCGAGACAAGTATACAATCCCACCAACAATACAGTAAGGTTCCCTTCTGTCCACATCCATTCCACCATCTGTTGTTATTAGAATTCTTGATTATAGCCATTCTAACTGGGGTGAGGCTGTATCTCAATGTTGTTTTAATTTGCATTTCTTTTATGGCTAGGGAGGTTGAACATTTCTTCATGTGTCTATTGGCCATCTTTCTTTCCTCTTCAAAGAAGCTTCTCTTTAACTCTTTAGCCAACTTATTTATTGGGCAGTTGTATCTTTGAGTATTTGTTGTTGGGGGATTTAATTTTTTGAGTTCCAGGTATATTTTAGATATGAGACCTTTGTCCGTTGTATGGCTAGTAAAGCTCTTCTCCCAATCCGTGGGCTTTCTATTGATTTTGCTAGCTATGTCCTTTGCCATGCAGAAGCTCTGCAATTTCATGCAATCTCATTTGTCTAAACTTTCTTTGATTTGTTGTGTTTCTGGGTCTCTATTAAGAAAATTTCTCTCTGTGCCAAGGAGACCTAGGGTTTCTTCAATCCATCCTGTAATATTTTCAAAGTGTCTGCTTTGACTTCGAAGTCTTTGATCCGTTTGGAATTGATTCTGGTGCAAGGTTATATATAAGGATCTAGCTTTGGTTTTCTACAGGTGACTAACCAATTTTGTCAGCATCATTTACTGAAGAGGTTGTCTTTCTTCCATTCTATTTTTTAGCTCCCTTATCGAAGATTAGATGGCTCTATGTCTGTAGGTTCATTTCTAGGTTTTCAATTCTATTCCATTGGTCCTGAGGTCTGTTCTTGTGCCAGTACCAAGACGTTTTGATTACTATGGCTTTGTAGTAGAGTTTGATATTTGGTATTGATATTCCTCCAGCACTGTTCTTTCTGTTAAGAATCATTTTTTGCTACTCTGGATCTTTTATTGTTCCATATGAATTTTTTGATTGCCTGTTCTGTTTCCTTGAAGAATGAGGTGGAATATTGATAGGTATCACATTGAATTGGTAGTTATGTCAAAAAACAAACTTTACAACATTGGCGGAGGGGGGTGTGTGGCAGATGAGGTGGGTAACGGGGTCTGGGGGGAGTTGGGAAGGAATAGGTAGAGGAAACAAAGGAGGAGGCAACAATGCTTGATAAGAAATGTACTCATTATCTTGCCCATTTAATTGTAACTCCTCTGTACCGTATTTTCACAATTAAAATTTAAAAAAAAGAATTCAGATTGGGACTCTCCATACAGAGAAGTGAACGAAGTAGTAGTTTCTTGGTCAAGACTGAGGAACTGATGTGTGAATCCTGTCCAATGGAACCATAATGCCTAAGGCCACTTTACTCACAGGGTAAGGAATATGCAAAGGATGGAGAAGTGTTTAAACCTACAAACTTCTAAAATGAGTTAGGAAGAAAAAAATGACTGGGTACAAATCAAGAGTTGCAAGAACTCACAAAGGCTAGCATAGCATGATGTCAGAAAATACTGAGAATGGCTATGTTTCTTGAAACAATATTCTATATATGACTTCTGTTCAGTAAAAAATAAATTTTTAAAAAGTACATTTTGCTTATGGTATGTGCCAACCAACCAAAGAAGCATTACCTGTGTAGGGGAACGTACCATTCCTCTGTTATTTTCCAATGATAACACCTATGTTTGATGAAAAAACATCTCATTGAGGGTAGGGACACAGCTATGTAGCACTGAATATATTGTAAAATCATACACCACGATCAAACAGGATTCATTTCAGGGAGGCAAAGCGGGCTCAATATACGCAAATCAATTAATATAATTCATCACATTAACAAGAGCAAGGATAAGAACCACATGGTTATCTCAATAGATGCAGAAAAGGCATTTGACAAGATCCAACACCCCTTTATGATGAAGGTTCTGGAAAAATTAGGAATCCAGAGAACATTCCTCAATACATAAAACGTTGTATATGACAAACATACATCCAACATTATACTTAATGGTAAAAACCTAAAGCCATTTCCTCTTAACTCAGAAATGAGACTAGGATGTCCACTCTCTCCACCTCTCTTCAATATAGTATTAGAATGCCTAGCTACAGCAATAAGACAAGATGCAACATAAATGGGATCCAAATAGAGAAAGATGAACTAAAACTCTCCCTCTTTGCAGAAGACATGAACTTGTATTTAA